TTTTATTTATTTTTATTTTTTTACGTTTTTTATTTTTTGGGACAGGGTCTCTCGCTAGGTTGCCCAGACTAGCCTTGAACTTGTGATTCTCCTATCTCAGCCTCTAGAGCATGTGCCACCATGCATGGCAAAGCTAGAGTTTTTGGATGGGTTAAAAAAACATTTTTCCCCTTTAAAGTAATGGAATAGATTCATTATGAGAAGGTTTGCCATTCTACACATTTTATGGATAAATTAAATTCTGATAAGACAGATGTATGCATTAAGTCTGGCCATACTGATTTCTATAGGACATTTAGGTACAGAAATGCTAAGGCTACACATTGGATTTACCTTTTAAAAGTTAACTAATGGAGGCTGGCATGGTGGCTCCTTCCTGTAATCCCAGGAAGTGGATTGCAGGGTTTGAAGCCAGCCTGGGATGCAGAGTGAGTTCAAGGATGGTCTGAACTACACGGTGAGGCCTTGTCTCAAAAAAAAAAAAAAGAAAGAAAGAAAAAGAAAAAGCCAGGTTTGGTCGTGGTGGCGCACCCCAGTGATCCCAGCACTCTGGAGGCTGAGGTAAGAGGATCACTGTGAGTTCAAGGCCAACTTGGGCCATTGTGAGTCTAAGGCCACCTGAACTATAGTGCAAGACCTTGTGTCAAAAAAACAAAAACATTGTCAGGGATTTAGCTCAGTGGTTCCGCCGCCTTCTGTGCAAGCGGAAGGGCCAGAGTTCGATCCTCGGTAGCAAAAACCACATAAAACAAAAAAGGCTATTTCCCCAGATCCTGTCTATACCAATTCTGACATAATTGTACTGATTTGAGGCCTAGACATCAGGATATATTAAACACTTGTAGGATCTTTTGTATGTGGACATTGTTGAGAATCATTGAGGTAGAGAGATCTGTAAAAAGCTATTTAGTGTTGATCTGACTCAAGAAATAGCTATGAGCTAGAAGAAATGATTGACTGGCAATTATGTAAATGATACAGTAATTGCCCATATTATGCCTTCTAAGATTTGGAAATAGGGGTTAGGGATTTAGCTCAGTGCCTGCCTTGCAAGTGCAAGGTTCTGAGTTCGATCTCCGGTACTGGAAAACAAAACAAAAAGATTTGGAGATAGGTCTAGGGTTGTAGCTCAGTGGTAGATTGCTTGCCTATCATGTGCAAGGCTCTGAATTTGATTTGGTACCCCCACTCACCCAACCCCCCAAGAAAGAATCCTGAAATGTAAAATGCAGCCTATTTATGCAAAGTTGATCAGGCCATAAGAACACAAAAGCTCAAGCCAAATCCATTCACTTTTTGACTGTTGCTTGGTACCACAAGTGGAGTTTCTGCTCCAGCCTAAAACATATTAGTTGGACTGATTTTCCAAGTTTAAATTGGCTGTCATTTTCCTGCCTGGAATAAGCTACCATGTCCCTTTCCCTCACCACATCTCCTCCACAACCATCTACCAAGCTTTATTCTGTCTCCCTTCAGAATGGGAAGAAGACAGAAAGCCATTTCCAATTACTTTATGTCTGAAACTTACATTAGTGTGAGATGACTGTTGGAGGATGGTTTTACTGTAGTTAGAACCATGGAAAAAGATGCACTTACCCAAAGGAGATTTAAGGTGAGAATTAACTAGGACATGCATGTATATTCACACATGCAGATGCACATTTTAGAAATCAGGAGTCCACATTAATACTTCCAGTTTGTTTTGCCTACTTTCTATTTTTGATTGGATGCGAAAAAATCAAGTGAAGTTAAATGAAACATGCATATCCTTTTAGATATGTTAACATGTCCAACTACAAGTTTTTAGAAAATCCTTTTTTATTATCTTCATAAAACCCTTAGGGTAGGATGTATTCATTAGAGTCATAATTAATATAGTGTCATTAATGATGTCTAGGTTATCTAGTTATAAAAAACAAATTATAGTTACATGAAAGTTAGAATGAAACTGAACAACCCTATCCTTTTCTCGTCCCTTGAAATGAAGGGGAAAGTGGGATTGAAGCATTAGGACAATACTCAGAATCCTGGCTACCTTTTGAACCAAGTCAAAACTATAGAATATGTACTTTCTTGTGTGCTGCCTTGTGAAAGGATGAGAAGGGATTTGGATGCACACTCCCACTCCTTGTTCTGAGACTTGAAATCGGAGCTTGTCATGTTAGAAGCAGCCACTCCACCAGCGAGGTCTCTCCCTAACTTGGATTTGGCAACTTTTAATTTTTCACAGGTCTCTTGCCCAAGGGATGGAATAATTATCCCTGCTTATATAAAACATGACTTTTTTGTACTGTTTTTAGGGGAAAAGCCATATGTCTGTACAGTTCCTGGGTGTGACAAAAGGTTTACAGAATATTCCAGTTTATACAAACACCATGTCGTTCACACTCACTCCAAACCATACAACTGTAACCATTGTGGGAAGACATACAAGCAGATCTCCACGCTGGCCATGCACAAGCGGTCGGCCCACAATGACACTGAGCCCATCGAGGAGGAGCAAGAAGCCTTCTTTGAGCCTCCCCCAGGTGAGGCTTTTGTCCATTATATGTGTTTCTAGGTTTGAGAAGCAATAGTTTAAGATTTATAGCATTTTCTCAAATCATAGTTTCATTCATACAATTATGTGCCAACATATAATGTTACAACTGAGATAAGCACCTTTGAAGAAAGGTACTGGTGCGGTGGGCTGTGTGTCGGGATTGTAGTCTCATTTGGGAGGGCAGGGAAGACTCCCTTGCCCCAAGGAAGTGGTTTTTGGAGCGTAGATAGGGTTTAACTAAGTGAAGAAGCAGGATTTGAGGGGAAGGAAATAGGGAGCAAAGATAAGAAAACCTCTCAGTGAGGGAATGACATGTTCACAGAGCCGTGAGGCTGGAGAGAGGCAAGTGAGTGGGAGACACTGAGAGAAGCCTGGCTAGCATGGCGGTCTCACCCAGGGATGTGGTGTAAAATGAGGCAGACAGGGAGGCAGGGGCAGCCAGGTGGTTTGCATTTATTGAAGATGTTGGTCTTGATGCTTAGAGCAGACCAGTGCTCCAAATAACTCTCCCTTGATTCAGGTGCTGTGAGATATATTGTAAGAGACAAAATCACTCATTTCAATAAGAACGAACTCTTTGCAAACATTTTAGAGAATTACATTCAGTGATTTCACTTAGATAATTAGGCAGTTTTTTTTCTAAAACAAAACATAGGTTATAATTTTTTTTTTTGTACAGGGGATTGAACTCGGGTCCTTGTGCTTGCGCAGCAGGTGGTGAAACCACTGAGCTAAATCCATGGCCCCATAGGTTATAATTTGAAAATTAGAAGACTACCTCCTTTTTCGTTTTTAACAACTGATTGAAGCATTCAGAAACATTTAGATGTAAAAAAAGTTGGTTGGAGAACAGGGAAATGAACAGATTGCCTGCTCCTCAGATGATTCCCTACTATAGTCCTAATTTTTTCCTGTCAGGTATTTGTCAGGTAGTGTATGAGAACAATTCCTTCAGTCTTGAGCACTATATTATTTTTCAACCAAACTGCAAGTGTGCATAATTAGATGTTTCAGTATGGGGACATACTTGTCAAAGGGTACACAATTTCAGTTAGCTAGGAGGAGTAAGTTACGAAGATTTACTGTAGAGTGTGACTACTGTTAATAATAGACTGGGGCCGGGGATTTAGCTCAGTGGTTTTGCCGCCTGCCTTGCAAGCGCAAGGACCCGAGTTCAATCCCTGGTACCAAAAAAAACCACCAAAAAACAAAGCAAAAAAAAAAAAAATTAATAATAATAGACTGTATACTTGAAAATTGTTAAGAGGAAAGAAGTAAATGTTACCACTGCTGAATCCTTTTAGTTAGAAAGCTTTAGGGATATCAGATGTAGTTTATAAAACTCTTCCTTTTTTAAGCTTCCTTAGTCTCTTCCTTATGTTATAGTTCAGATTGTTAGAAGTTCTTACATTCTATAAAATACTCTATAATAATGTATATTTTGTTTTTTTAAGAAATTAAACCACATGTTGCTTCCTGCCCTGCAAGCACAAGGACCCCAGTTCGATCCCTGGTACAAAACAAAACAACAAAAAAACTAAACTACAATTGTCTTTCTAAGAATAGGGATAGTTCTGTTTTTCTTCTTTTCCATATGGTCCTGGGTTTTGTAACCCATTGGAATAATGGTATATAAATAGCCATGGAACAGAAGAAAAAGGAGTGGAACAATGACTGCTGTGGAAATTATACTTGGATGACTGTAGCCATGTGAATGCATGGACCAAGCACTGATGAGAGAAGTACTTTTAGATTGTGCTCTCTTTCTGGCTTCACAAGAGATGGAAAATGTTAGAAAATAGAAGGATCAGTAATTTTCCTGGTTGCCAAGTATAACAGTAATGACTGTTGAAGTTGTTGTTTACTTACTGGTTCTTTATGAAAGAAGTGTAGGAGGAGGGTTCCTGTTCTGTCAGATGTGAAATGATTAACCTTACTCCAGATAATTAGCCATTACATCATCTTTACACAATGATGTCATTGTGTACTGTTAACTTGCAGTCAGTCACTTCTGTCAAAGACTAAGTAGATTATGTTTACAAAGCATTGCGGTTTTGCTGTTAATGTTTATGAAGATTGTTTTATCACTTTTATGGCTTCTTAAGGGACTCTTAAAAACTTAGTGCACAGCATACTTGTGGATTGAAAGGGTTATTTGCCAGTCTTTTTGAACAGTTTCTTCCCTCCCTGCCCCAACACATGTGCACAGAATCACATAATTCTTCCAACTAAGAGAAAAAAGGTCTCCCAAAATTAGAACACTTAGGAAAGCTTTGATTTCATCTGATTTGATTTGGTTTACCTTGCAAAAGTGGAGGTGGGGGAATGGGAAGAAGGTCCTGGGAGCCATTTTCATGATTTAGATATAATACATATACATTTTATAATTTTCTCTTTGATTAATTTAAAATGTTCTCTATTTTATGATTAGTCGGGCAAATAAATAATTCATTTGTTTTAAACAGGTCAAGGTGATGATGTTCTTAAAGGGTCCCAGATCACATATGTTACAGGTGTAGAAGCAGATGATGTTGTGTCTACACAGGTAGCCACAGTAACCCAGTCTGGGTTGAGTCAACAGGTTACACTCATATCACAAGATGGGACTCAGCATGTAAGTATGAACTTTTTTGTTTGTTTGTTTGTTTGTTTTTGGTACCGGGGATCAAACTCGGGTCCTTGTGCTTGCAAGGCAGGCAACAGAACCACTGAGCTAAATCCCCGGCCCGTAAGTATGAACTTTAAGCCAAACAAGTAATATTTCTCTGAACCTGGGCTTGAAAAGTGGGGAGGGTCTGCATTGAGGAAAGTCTTGAACATGGAGGCATGAAGTTTGGGTATCAGCCTGGAGGCAGTGGCAGATTGATACAGGGTTTTCAGTAGCCTGCTGAAAGAGATCACATCCAGTGAGATGAGCAGAGAAAGAATGTTTATGTTTCTGTAGAATCTAAATAGTATTAATTGATACTGCTCAAAAGAGAAATAATGGGGCCAGGGATTTAGCTCAGTGGTTCCACCGCCTGCCTTGCAAGCGCAAGGTCCCGAGTTCGATCCCTGGTACCAAAAATAAAAAAGAGAGAGAAATAATGAAGGTCAGAGCCACAGCGAGATAGAGGGCTTGAAAAGAGGGCTGGGGATTTTAGCTCAGTGGAACGGCACCTGCCTCACAAGCACAAGGTCCTGAGTTCAATCCCCAGTACAAAAAAAGAGAGAGAGAGAAAAGTAATAGATCCACTGGGCTTAGTGGCACACACCTGTAATCACAGCACTCTGGGGGCCTGAGGCAAGGGGATTGCAAGTTTGAGCCCAACCTGGGCAAATTAGCAATTTCGTGAGACCTTATCCCAAAATTAAAGATAAAAAAGGGCTAGGAATGAGTACGAAAGGCTGAATATGAAAGCCATTTGTTTAGCCCCCAGTAAACTCCCCATCCCCAGCCTGTTAGCCTGTTTTGTTGCTGGAAAACTCTAGTGTTCATAGGGAACCACCCCTATGTTATTCATTCTTGGCTTCTCTCTGACCATACAGAATAAGTTTAACTCTTCTTCATGTAATCCAGAACTATCTTTCCCATCTCAGTTATTGTATTTTCCCTTGTATTTAACCTTCCTATGTCCTTCAAAAATTAGATTTCTGGGGGCTAGGGATTTAGCTCAGTGGTTCCATTGCCTGCCCCGCAAACTGAAGGACCGAGTTCGATCCCCAGTACCAAAAAACAATTAGATTTCCATTCCTTTAGTTGGTCAAATAACAGACATGTATTGGCCATCTACCCTGTGCCATGCATTTTGGTCAACATTGTGGAAGGGAGATATCACAATCCAGTGGGAAAGAGATATTTCTAAAGTGAAGGATAATTTCTCATACAGAGGGCTATATAATTGAGGCTTATATAAAGTGGTGTGGCAGCCTGGAGGAGAGAGCTGGTAGTCAGTCCTTCCTGATGGAATCTTGGAGGCCCTCACAGAGAATGTCCATTTAGTTGGGTTTTGAAGGGTTTTCACAAGTTTACCAGGCAAAGAATGAAGGAAAGGCAAAGCCACAAAAATCTAAAAGACTGCGGCACCATCTGGGACTGCAAATATTTAGTTATGGCTGAAGTGTAAGACAGATCTGAAAATAGTAGATGAGTCGGGATAGGGAGTTAGTAAAGGCTGGATCATGAAAAGTCAGGAATGTCATGTAGAAGTTTGAACTACTATATAAGTGATAGGAAGTCACAATTTAAGCAGGAAGCATAGTGAAACTTGTATTGCTTTATTTTTT